TAAAGAAATTTAAACTAGATTTTAAAGTTTTCAAAATGCACACAAAATTAAATGCCCAAAAGATGCCAGAAATCAAACTAAAGCGCAATAGGATGCCACTGTTATCAACAAGCTCCTCATTTAATGATTTTAACTGACACTTGTTTTTACATCAATTGTTTATATGTTTGAATTGTGTAAATAAAGTGCTGTTAAAAGTCAAAAGTCTTCTTCTATTTTTTTATGGTGATTAAGTGTCGGTTCTGTGACACAGGGGTTTAAATTTCCGGCTGCATTTAATTTTTTCACCATCAGTATTTTTATTTTTTTACTCAGTAACATGAGGGGGTTTTAAATGTAGCAAAGTAAAACTACTTTGGTTAAAATTTACTTGAGTAAAAGTAAAATTTACATATTTCAAAAACTACTCAGAAAATTACAAATTACTCATAAAAAGTACTCAATTACAGTAATGCGAGTAAATGTAATTCTTTACTTTCCACCCCTGTTTAATGCTTTTCATGAAAAAAATAACACTTCTCACATTACCTTCTCATCCTCCTTGTTTTCTTCTTCCTCCTTCCTCCAGGAGTTAGTTTCAGTATCGATGACTCTTTCCTCAACAGGCTTCTCTTCCTCTTCCGTCTGCTTGTTGTCATCAGTAATGGAGGGTTGCTCCTGCAGGCTCCCGTCTGTTCCATTGGTGGAGATGATTGTGGGGTCGAGTTCCTTCTGCCTCTCCAAAGCCTCCTTCATCCTCTGCTGCCTGCGCTCCTCCCTCTTGGCCAGGCGCTCCTGCAAACCCTCGTCATCCTCTGCTTCCTCACCAACAGTCGTAGAGGATTCGCTCTCTGTCACGCTGAGAGAACATGAAATAGGATGATTAATGTTCAGGAAGGCTCACAGTCCTAAAATGTTCTATCAATGAGTGGATGCTTTATATGCTGTGGTCAAACAGAAACATTATAACATAAATGTGGAAGCAGTCCTAAACTTGAGGCCCAGGAGAAATAATTATTACCAACATTTTTAAAAGACCAATTTGAAGAAAGTTTTTACAGAAAACTACTTTGTTTGCTTTAAATGATACAGCATGTACAGTGACGTAGTAGTTATATTCTCAATTGTTCCTGGAAATGTTCATGCACTTTCAAAAACTTTCATAAGTCTGTCCAGATGCGTTTCCAACCCTTTCAAGGAACTCACAATACACCTTTTTGGAGCTATGATGGGAATTAAAGCTGCTGCTCTTTTTTCTCTTTTTGTTGAAACTTTTGCACAAAAGTTGCATGTTGCATGTGTTTTATCAAATGTTTGATAGGCCGATTTAATCTTCAAGTGCAGTCACATTTATGTCCCACAGACTTCTGGTTTAATATGTGAAGGTTTTGGAAAATAATCTTTATTTTGCTGGAAAGTAACATCTAAGCTCTGGGAAAGTTTCATAAAAGTTTAACAGAAATTCTACAATGTACTTAAAAACTTCTTGAAAAGTGTTTTAACCTCTGATATCCTTGGATTTAACCTTAGAGTGACTGGGAAGGTTCATAAAAAGTTCGGAAAATGTCTGAAAAAGGTGTAGAAATTTCTCAGTACACTGGAAAAAGTATAACATTAAAAATGATGTCCAGATGTCACATCTAAAATATTTGACAACACAGAATATGAATTTAATCGCTTGTTATGACCTGATAATATTATGTTGATGTAAACAATAAAACTATATTTGACACAAGTTAAAATCTTTGCCCTGTTCCAAATGATTTTCTGAACATTT